AAATACACTTTTTATTTTAGACTCCTTTGAGATTTACAGAAAAGTTGCAAAGAGGGTACAAAGAATTCCGGCATCTCCTCCACCCAGTTTCCCTCATTGTTAGCGTCTCACATTGTTAAGGTACATTTGTCATGACCAAAAAAACATGTTCATTTTTGTCCACTAAACATCCTGCTTGACGAGGATTCTGTCAACATTCTCATTCATGTCCCTTGTTCCAGGACCCAATCCAAGGTACCGCAGTGCTTTCTCTGGTTGTCGTAGCTCCTCCTTCTCCCAGATTTTCTTTTCTTTTCTTTTTTTTTTTTTTGAGTCAGGGTCCCACTCTGTTGCCCAGGCTGAAATGCAGTGGCACCATCACCTCAACCTCAGCCTCCTGGGCTCAGATGATCCTTACTGCCTCAGCCTCCTGAGTATCTGGAACTACAGACGTGTGCCACCCCATCCAGCTAATTCTTTGATTTAATGTAGAAACGAAGTCTCACCGTGCTGCCCAGGCTGGTCTTCAACTTCGGGGCTCAGGCAATCCTTTCTCCTAGGCCTCCCAAAGTGCTGGGATTACAGGCATGAGCCACCGCGCCCAGCCTGTTTCTCAGATGTTTTAAAATACTCTTACTTACAATAGACATGAGCTTGTGGATAATACAGAGCCCTGTGGTGTGTGTTTACATTCGTGTCTGAAAATTCTAGAAGCACTGAGAACATTTTGATTTTTAAACAATGTGTCAGTTCAATTTTTGAACAATAAGCTCACTATATTTTTCTTCAACCGTCAGACATCTTTTCAGGTGACATTTAAGCTACTTATTCAATCCTTTGCCTGAAAAAAAGAAAAGACTATATTTTCTTATGAAGACATGCATGATTTTCCTGTTGTCGGGCTTTTTACCACCCTGTGCAGAAGTGTTTTCAGATGGTCCATTTGCTCTCTCCAGACCGAGTCTCCCCATCCCTTCCTGTTGCGTTCTGGGTCTCCTCTGCCTTCTGCTCTTCTGTGTGGTTTTCTATAACAGGGCTTCGGTGCAGGTTTCTTTGTTCCTGTTTGCTTGTGTCCCTGTTGATGGGCTTCTGGGCTTGTTTCCGGTGTTTTTGCTGCTTCACACTGATCTGTTCCCTTCCCGCAGGGGCTTGTGGTCCACCCTCTTCTCTGGAGCAGGTGGGGGCAGCTATGTACTCAGTATGTGGATTCTGGGAGGCAGGGTGTCCGGGTGCCCAGCATTCTTGGCATATGGAAATTCCCAGCCTGTGGACATAGGGTCAAGTTGAGTAACTGCTCTCTGCCTCAGTTTCCCAGTCTTTAAAATGGAGAAGATGATAATAGTAGCTAAGAAAGGAATCGCTGGGTTAGAAGGAATGATACCCTTATTTAGGCTAATTATTGCTAACTGTCCATCTGGAGAGCTAATTTTTAATTTTTGTATTTTTTTGAGTCAGAGTCTCACTCTGTTGCCCAGGCTGGAGTGCAGTAGCAGGCTCATGGCCACCGCAGCCTTAACCTGCTGGGCTCAGGTGATCCTTCTGCCTCAGCCTTCCAAGTAGCTGGAACCACAAGCACGCACCACCATGCCCAGGGAATTTTTAAATTTATTGTAGAGATGAGGTCTAGCCATGTTGCTCAGACTGGTCTCGAAACACTGAGCTCAGGTAATCCTCTTCCCTCTGCCTCCCAAAGTTCTGGGATTACAGGCGTGAGCCACTATGCCTGGCTTTTTTTTTTTTTTTTAATTAAAACCTTTTTTTTTTTTTTTTTTTAATGGGGGTCCTGCTATTTTGCCCAGGCTGGTCTTGAACTCTTGGCCCCAGGTGATCCTCCTGCCTCAGCCTCTTGAGTGGCTGGGATTATAGGTGTGAGCCACTGTGCCTGGCCTGGAGAGCTAATTTATCTTTGGGGGCAAGCCTTTGATTTTTATACCTGTGGGTACCTTGGGAGGGTCAACAAGCGGGTATTGGGGGGAAATATGGCAGTGGGGGTCACTGGCAGCCGGTGGGCGGTTGTGTGGACCCTGGGATCCCAATTTAGGTCCCCATCTCGTTTCTTCCAACTCATCTAGGGGCAACCAGAGTGTCCCCATTTTACAGAGGAAGAATCTGAGGCTCAGAGAGGCCAAACAACTTGCTTGAGGTCGGCCTGGACTCAAACCCTGGGTTGCAGGAATTTTGAACTCTCGGGAAGAATGAATTCTCTCTCTTCTTACTCATTATATTGGCGATCTGGGCACTCGAAAGCCTTAGAACCACGTGACCCTAAGAGAATGAGATGCAGCTACGTGCAGAAGGTTCTAAAGGAAGGACGATCAAGTGGAGAGAGAGGTGGACGATACTGGTGTTGTCACCCAGGCTGGAGTGCAGGTGGCCTGCTGGGCTCAGGCTATCTTTCCGCCTCAGCCTTCCAAGTAGCTGGAACTACAGGCATACACCACCATGCCTGGCTAATTTTTTGATTTATTTTAGAGACAAAGTCTCGCCAAGTTGCCCAGGCTGGTCTCGAACCCTGGACTCAGGCAGTCCTCTCGCTTCAGCCTCCCAAAGTGCTGAGAATACAGGTGTGAGCCGCCATGCTGGCCACTTTTTTTTTTTTTGAGACAGGGTCTCCCCCTGTCACCCCAGATGGAGTGCATCACTGTGAACAGTGGCATGATCACTGTTCACTATAGCCTTGAACTCCTGGATTCAAGGGATCCTCCTGCTTCTGTTTCCTGAGTAGCTGGGACTATAGGAACTTGCTGTGCCTAGCTATTTTTAAAATTTTTCTGTAGAGTCTGGGTCTTGCTATATTCCCCAGGGTAGTCTTGAACTCCTGGCCTCAAGAAATCCTCCCACCTCAGCCTCCCAAAGTGGTGGATTACAGGTGTGAGACACGGTACCTGGCCTGAACTTTTTAATTATGAAAATTTTCAACTATACAGAAAAGGAAAAAGAATAGTATAAGAACCCCCATGTACCCATATCTTGATATGACAGTCATTAGCATTTGTTTAAAAATTATAGATGACATATTTTACCCTTGAATATTTCAGAATGCATATCAGAAAACAGTGACAATCACAGTTCCATGATCCTGCCTGAGAATATAGAAAATAATTCTTAATATTGTCTAGTTCCCAGTCCAAATCCAAATTTCTGCATTCATGACAAGAATTTTTCAGTCCAGTTCAGTAAACGTGAGTGTTTTCTCCTGGGAGAGGGAGGTGAACTTCTGGGTCTGTTGAGGCTAAGGATTTGTCTGGTGGGTATCAGAAACTTTTTTCTTGCTTTCTGGGCCTCAGTTTCCCTACTATGCTCTGAGGCAGCTCACAGAGCTGTCTCTGACCTGGCGGGCTTTGTGGCTTCCTTTCTCTTTGGGCTGGTGTGGCTGCAGCAGGCAACATTGAGAGAAGTCTCCTGGGTGGGAGGCCTCTTTTCTGGGAGTCCAGAGGCCTTGGTGAGGGTTCTTGTGGCACAGTGGCTGGTCTGGGCTCCTGCAGGATGTAGAATGTCCAGGCACAAATAAATCTGTCTCATTCTAGTATGCACTAACTAGAGGTCACCAAGCCACTGTAGACAGGATTCAGCCCCTGAAGGGTCTGGTTTGTGCAGCACGGCACAAGGGGAGAAAATTGGGAATGCCATGTACAGAAATCCAGATTTCCCACTTCTTGTAAAAAATGGGAAGACTTAGCAATACCTTCCTGGGACTCAGTAGTAGGGCCCTCTGCAAACCTTGCCGCAGTCCTCACTGTGCCCTGTTGCCTCTCCAATGTGCAGCTATCCTATTCATCACTGCACTTCCTCTGCTGTTTTTTTCTTATACTGAGAAAGAATTTTTGGAATCAGTGTCTGTTTCAAAGAGACTGAGGCCCTGCACTGAGCTGAAACTACTGACCAGAGAGGGTGAGCAGCCTGCCAGCATTGCACAACTAAGTGATGCCAGCTCTTGGCATCCGGGCAACTAGAACATAGACTCTGTGTCAGGTGTTTAACCCACATTGGCCTCCTTAACCCTCTCAGCAGTTCTGGGAGGCAGGTGCCGCTCATTGAGCACCTGACATCTATTAAGCACCTACTGTGTGACAGGTGCTGTTCTAAGTGCTAGAGCAAAGGCGTTCCCTGCTCTCATGGGACTTCCACCCAGGGGAGATGCGCTAAGCCGGGGGCACGGAGGCGGGTGATGTCCCATCCTTGACTCCCGCCCTGAGTCGCAAGGGGTCGGGTGGGAGGGAGACGTGGCAGGGGTGGCAGTGCTTAGAGGAACCCACGTACTGGGAATGACAGCCCCAGGGGAGAGCCAGAAGGGCCGTCTTGCGGTCTGAGCTGCGTGGGTAGGGGCCGGATGGGGCACTCAAGGCTGACCTCCCTGCCCCCCGGACCTGGCAGTGCCTCCAAAAAGTGAGAGTGTCAGTGAGCGAGGCTGGAGCCCGCAGGCCCCAAAATAGAGCCTCCCTCATCCCCGTGGGTCTCGGCTGAGTCACCCTGGAATGTGCAGGGCCTGAGTTGGATGGAGGGCCCGGGCTGGAGGAGCCGCGGCCGCAGCGGTCACGCCTGGGCCCCAGCTTCCGGCCTTTGTCCGCTCCTCCCTGGTACTTTTCTGGGAAAGGAGGAGAGCGGCCAGAAATAACACCTGGAGCCCCAGCAGCCGGGATGAAGGGCCAGGAAGGAAGCCCACCCGAAGGTGTCCTCGGCCCTGCATCTCGGCAGGTTGCGGAGGCCTCTGTGTACAAACCTGAGATGAGATTTCCTCATCTCAGAGTGGGGGTGTACATGTCCCCCCGGGGTGACTGGTGGCTCTGCCACCAGACCTGCCTGGATGAGAAACCCAACTCCTCCCCGCTGGCGACTCAGCTCCTCTGTGCCTCAGTGTTCTCTGTGAAATGGGCCTGACAGTAATAGTTCCTCCCTCATAGGACTGGGGGAGGATTCCTTGAACTAATGGGATAAAATGCTCGGCCTGGTGCCTCCCACACCATCCGGGCTCGTCGGGTGTTAGCCGAGATTACCAAGAGAGGAAATGGCTGGAGAACGCCATGCGTGGCACCTTAGGGCAGCTGGCACTCAGTCATTGGTGCCCGGGAGTCTCAGGGGGCCTGCTTCTCAGCTGCATCCAGCTCCCAGGTGCCAGGGATCCGATAGGGGCTCACCAACTCCCTCCTTCCCATCACAGCCAACGTGGACAGTGGCATCGTGACTCCCATTTCACAGGCGAGGAAAGAGGCGTGGGAAGTCAGTCGCACGACTGGCAGGAAGCACAGCTGGGGCTGGAAGCCTGGAAGTGTGGAGCTGAAATTTGCCTCTTAGGCAAAACTTGCTGCCCCGTTGTCTGTGCCCGGCCTCCCTGGGCCACCGTCCAGGCTGGGAGGGGGCTGGTGCGCTCCAACTAGTGGGTTGTTCCAGCACCATGCTGTACCGGCCAGGTGACACATGGAGCCTCTGGACAAGCGGTCTTAGCCCAGGGGCTCACCAGGAGAGAGGAGGAAGGAAAGGCCCTGCCCCTCCTGGGATCCCGGAGCTCTGACTGAAGTCTTCTCTGGGCTTTGAGTCCTGGGCTCTGCAGCAGAATAGAGGCTGGGGAGGGAGGCGGGCATGTCTGGGAAGACTCTTCCTGGGGTCTCGAACTCGTGGTTTTACTCTCGTCTTCCCCAGCCCTGGCCCTCACACCAGCCTTCACTCTTGTCCCCTGTCTGGCCCCTGCCTTGGGTTGTCCTGGGGCAGCCAGACCGAGGGAGCCGGAGGGAGGGGAAGGATGGAGGGAGGCGGTGCTCCCCTGGGCCGCTGGGCGTGGAGCCAAAGCCCCTGTTTGGAGGTGAGGGAGTTGGATGGTGGGCCCGGTTCCCTGGGCACTGGGGCTTCTGCTTCCGTGCTCACCTCCTGGGCAGTCCCAGGGGTCCCTTTTGCCTCTCTCTGTTGCGCCATGCCACTCCCAGCTCCCGCCTCACCCCCTCCCGTGGGTCCCCTTCTCCCATGGCATCGAAGTCAGACCCTGGCCTTGGCCTTCAGGCCCTCAGGGCCTACAAGGTCATTTCTAGTCCCAGCGCCTGCCTTTCACCGTCGCATCCCCCACTCCAGCCTGCTCCTGCTGTCTTGAAAACCTCGCTGAGTGTGCCCCCGCCCCAAGGCCTTTGTACCTGCTGTTTGCTCCTCCCCCCGCCCTCTCAGCGTGCTCCCTTCTCATCCTAGGGGTCTTTGCTCACGTGACATCTCCTTGGGGAGGCTCTCTGACCCCCTTCTGTAAACTAGCCCCCCTTACAGTCTCGCTTCACTCTTCTTTCTTCTTCTTTTTATTGGGATATAATTTACATTCCAAAAAAATTCCTTTTTTGTCCCCTTGAATCCAGGTCTCACTCTGTCACACAGGCTGGAGTACAGTGGTATGATCGCAGCTACTGCAGCCTCATCTTGCTGGGCTCAGGTGATCCTTCTGCCTCAGCTTCCCGAGTAGCTGGGACTCCAGGTGTGCACCAGTACACCCAGCTAATTTTTTGATTTATTGTAGAAATGAGATCTCACCAAGTTGCCCAGGCTGGTCTTGAACCCCTAGGCTCAGGCAAGCCTCGTACCTTGGCCTCCCAAAGTGCTGGGATTACAGGCATGAACCACTGTGTCTGGCAGTTCATCCTTTTAAAACGTACAATTCAGTGATTTTTAGTGTATTCACAGGGTTGTGCAACTGTCACCGCCGTCTAATTCCAGAATATTTTTATCACCCCTAAAAGAAACCATGTGCCCGTTAGCAGTCACCCCCCCCCGCCCCTCCTCAGCCCTTGGCAGCCATTAATCGACTTTTCTGGCTCCTTGGATTTCCAGTTCTGGAAGTCTCATACAAATGGAATCATACAAGATGTGACCTTTTGTGTCTGGTTTCTTTCACTTAACATGATTTTTTTTTTTTTTTTTTTTTTGAGTCAGAGTCTCACACTGTCGCCCAGGCTGGAGTGCAGTGGCACGCTCACGGCCACCCCAGCGTCAACCCGCTGGGCTCAGGTGATCCTTCCGCCTCAGCCTTCCAAGTAACTGAAACTACCAGCGTGCCCTACCATGCCCGGCTAATTTTTTGATTTACTGTAGAGACGAGGTCTCACCAAGTTTCCCAAGCTGAACTCGAACTCCTGGCTCAGGCAATTCTCTCGCATCAGCCTCCCAAAGTGCTAGAATTACAGGCTTGAGCCACTACCGGGCTTAGCGTGATGTTTTTAAAGTTCCTTCACACTGTAGTATGAATCAGTACTTCCAGCTGAACAATGTTCCGTTGTACGGATAGATTACGTCTTGTTTATCCATTTATCAGTCAGTGGGCATTTGGGTTGATTGCACCTTTGGCCATTATGCATAATGCAACTATGAAAAATAGTGGAGGAACATGTTTGCGTATGAACATGTTTTCAATTCTCTGGGGTCTATTGCTGATTTCCAAAGCGGCTGCTCCAATTTTCATTTTCACCAGCAACATACAAGGTTTCCAATTCTTCACATCCTTGCCAACACTTATTTTCCTTTAAAAAATTTTTAGCCCGGTGTGGTGACTCATGCCTATAATCCTAGCACTTTGGGAGGCCGAGGCCAGAGGATTGCCTGAGCCCAGGGATTTGAGACCAGCCTGGGCAACTTGGCGAGACCTCATCTCTACAGTAAATTAAAAAATTAGCCAGACGTGGTGGCGTGTGCCTGTAGTCCCAACTACTTGGAAGACTGAGGCAGAAGAATCACCTGAGCCCAGCAAGTCAGGGCTGTGGTGGCTGTGAGCATGCCACTGTACTCCAGCCTGGGCGACAGAGTGAGACTCCAGCTCAAAACAATTTTTAAAAATTTTTGATGGACATAGTGGCTCATGCCTGTAATCCCAGCACTTTGAGAGAGACCTCATCTCTACAAAAAATAAAAAAAATTAGTGGGGTGTGGTGGTATGTGCCTGTAATCCTAGCTACTTGAGAGGCTGAGGGAGGATCATCTGACACTGCACTACAGTGTGGGCAACAGAGTGAGATCCCGACTCAAAGAAGTATAAATAAATACAAATTTTTATTTTTATTTTTTTTGAATCAGAGTCTCACTCTGTCACCTAGGCAGGAGTGTATTGGCATGCTCACAGCCACTGCAGCCTCCACCTGCTGGGCTGAGGCATTCCTTCCACATCAGTCTTCCAAGTAGCAGGAACTACAGGTGTTGCGCCACCACGCCTGGCTAATTTTTTGATTTATTGTAGAGATGAGGTCTCGCCAAGTTGCCCAGGCGGGTCTCGAACCTGTGAACTCAGGCAGTCTTCTCACCTCAGCCTCCCAAATTTTTGTTTTTATTATGGCCATCACAGTAGGCGAAGTGATGTGATGCCTTGCTGGGATTTGATTTGCATTTCCCCAGTGACTAATAATGTTGAATATCTTTTCATATCTTTTTTTTTTTATTTTTAAAAAGGTATATTAGAGATGTAGTCTCACTATGTTGGCCAGGCTGGTCTTAAACTCCTGGGCTCAAGTGATCCTCCCGCCTTGGCTTCCCAAAGTGCTGGGATTACAGGCGTGAGCCACCGTGACCACTTCTTTTTTCATCTTATTGTCCATTTGCATATGTCCTCCGAGAACTGCCTATTCGAGTCCTCCGGGCATTTTTAAACTGGGTATTATCTTTTCAAGTTGTGCCATATTGCATGTGTGCGCATCACGATTTCTCACATTGACGTGTGGTTTTTGATCTCTGCCTGTCATTAGTCCTCCTCTTTAGTAGGTAAACCCTGTGAGTCAGGGCGTGGCTGCCCTGTTCCCTGCTGCATCTCCAGCACCCAGAACGCACCTGCTTCGTGGCTGATGTTTGGTGAATGAGTGAGTGAATCCACAGTGAGAGAAAGAGATGTGATGATATACCTACTCATTCATTCATTCAGAAGATGGCATCTGGGAGCTTTCTGCATCCCGGTGGCTCTGATAGTTCTAAGACAGGGGTCCTCACCTGGGTTGAGGGACCATCAAAAGGCCCACTGTGACACCAGCCCTGCCACACTGTGAGGCCCATCTGACAGCAGCCGGCATGAGCCAAGAATCGGGGTGGGGATGAGACGAGGCTGGCCCAGGGTGGCCCCCGGGAGGCGCTGTGAGTGTTGGTGTATGAGCTACTCATACTGCGAAGCCAGCCACCGTGTCCTAAACAGCACCCAGGTGCCAGCTCTCAGTCAGGCTCAGGAGTCTGGCGCAGTGTGGCTGGGTTCCCTGGTTCCAGTCTCACGAGGGTGCCGTCAAAGGTTCTCTGGGCTGCCTATCTGCTGGGAAGCTCCCAGGAAGACTCGGAGGGCTGAATCGAGTGGCCTGCCGTTGGGGGTGGCCTGTCCCCTTCCCTGCTGTCGGCAGGGATCCCGTCACAGATCTAGCAGCCACCAACTTCCTTGCCATGTGATCTTTCCGTCTTCAAAGCCAGTACAGACACTCTCCCTTATGCCAAATTCCTCTCATGCCTCAAATCTCTTTAGCCAGGAAGGGCCCTGTCACTTTTAAGCCCGGTCCTTACCTGTTAGGTCAGGCCTACTAAGGAGAATCTTTTCTTTTCTTTTTTGAGTTGGAGTCTCACTCTGTCGCCCAGACTGGAGTGCAGTGGCACACTCGGTTTGCTGCGGCCTCGACCTCCTTGGCTCAAACAATCCTTCACTCTCAGCCTCCCGAGTAGCTGGAACTACAGGCACATGCCACCACGCCCAGCTAATTTTTTAACTTTTTGTTGAGATGAGGTCTTGCTGTTGCTTAGGCTGGTCTCAAATTCCGGGGCTCAAGCAATTCTCCTGCCTCAGCCTCCCAAAGTGCTGGGATTACAGGCGTGAACCACCGCACCTGGTCTAGGAGAATCATTTCCTCTGAAAGTCAGCTGTACCATTGGCTCTCACTCGGTAGAGGAGATTGTACAAGGATGTGGGTGACTGTGGGTGACTCAGAGTCTGCTCACCACACTAGAAATGCTGTCCCTGTATCCTCAGAGGAGTCCCTCTGCTTTTACAGATGATTATGGCCTCGACCACACACACTAGCCTTCTCACCCCCTGGACTGAGTGAGCGTGTGCTCTTGGGCCACCCCTCAGGCCATGACCTGGCCTCTCACCCCGAGGTGCCCCCGACTGGTGCAGAGCAGTCAGGGACTATGCCAAAGTCAGGGCTCCCACCTCTTGCCACCCTGCTGTGCTCTTCAGTGTCACCCTTTCTTTGGGTGGGGCAGGGAGTGTGATGACCCAACCCTGTCCAGGTGGGCGCAGAGAACCTGTTGTTCTTATGCTGTTGGGTGCTGGAAGGCTCCCTTCCCACGGAGAGACAACCCCTGCTGTCGAACCCCACGCTACATTCCAGACACTAACCAGTCCCCCAGCTTCCATTATCCTTCACCTCCTCCCCCCGCAGTCCTGTCTCTTCACTTTGGCTGGAAGAATCCTGCAAAAACCCAAGCCAGACTATGTCCCTGCCCTGCTCAAAACTCCCCCATGGCTTCCATCTCACTCACAGAGGTTAAAGTCCTCACAGCCACCCACAGGATAGCATGGCCTGGCCCCATGACCTCTTTGACCTCGACTTCCACGACTTCTTGTTCCCTTCAGACCCACCCCACTGGCCTGCTTGCTGTTCTTTGATCACACCAGGCATGCTCCAACCTCAGGGCCGTTGCGCTTGCCATCCCACCTGCCTGGAAGGCTCTTCTCCCAGATCCCCGTGTGACTCCCTTCCTCCCCATCTGGTCTTTGCTCAGATATCTCCCCAGTGAAGCCCGCCTTGACCTCCCCGTTTGAAGTCACACCCCAAGACCTATGCCCTTTCTCCCCTTCCTTGCCTCATGGTGACATGTGCTGTGGCTTCTGCAGGCGACCTGGGGAGCCCCCCCTGGACCTGGGCAGCATCCCCTGGTTGGGCCACGCCTTGGACTTCGGAAAGGATGCCGCCAGCTTCCTCACTAGGATGAAGGAGAAGCACGGCGACATCTTCACTGTGAGTGCCTTGTGGGGGGGGTGGGCAGCCGGACCTCACACCTGGTGTCTGTTGATTCCGGCAACATCCGCCCACATGCCAGCCCCATCCAGAGGTCCAGCCAGCTTCCTATCCATCTGTCTATCCAGCCGTCCCTCAACACTAACCCAACACCCATGCCTTCCATGTCCCTCTAGCCTCTTCTGGCATCAATGCAAGCAGTCATCACTGCCTACCCAGTGCTTGTACATCCTGCCGCCGACTTCTGTCCATTCGTTCGACTTTCGTCTGTCTGACATCCATCTCCCCATCTGACATCTGTTCTTCTGCCTGTCCATCCAGTGTCCACCCAGCATCCCTCTGTCCTAATATGCACCCAACATTCATTCACCCAACCTCCATCTGTCTACTCATTCTTCCATCTCTCCATCTCCTCCTCTGACATCTGCCTGCTCTTGCGTGTATCCAGCATCTATCCCTCTACTGGTCTAGCCAAATTCACCCCACATTCCCCCACTCGTGTACCTAACACCCACCTCACTCTCATCCCTACACAGGTGGCCCTCCATGTCTGTGGGTTCCATATCCGTGGATTCGTCCAACCACAGATTGAAAATATTTGAAGAAAAGCGCATCTGTACTGAACATGTGCAGACTCTTTTTTTGCCACTATTCCCTAAAAAACACAGTATAGGAACAATTTATATAGCATTTATGTCATATTAGGTATAGAAGTAACAAGAGATGATTTAAAGTGTGCTGAGGTCGAGTGAGGGGGCTCATGCCTATAATCCTAGCACTTTGGGAGGCCAAGGTGAGAGGATTGCCTGGGCCCATAGGTTCGAGACCAGCCTGGGCAACTTGGCAAGACGTCATCTCTACAATAAATCAAAAATTAGCCAGGCATGGTGGTGCATGCCTATAGTTCCAGCTACTTGGAAGGCTGAGGCGGAAGGATCACCTGAGTCCAGCAGGTTGAGGCTATGATGGCCATGAGCATGCCACTGCACTCCAGCCTAGGTGGCAGAGTAAGACTCTGACTCAAACCAAAACCCAAAAAAAAAAAACCTTAAAAAAATAAATTAAACAAACAAACAAAGTATGCTGGAGGGCGTGCATAGATTCCATGCAAATACTGCACCATTTTACATCAGGGACTTGAACATCCACAGATTTTGGCATCCTTGGAACCAAGCTGAGGACACTGAGGGATGGATAAGCAGACGGATGGATAGATGGAAGCTGAGCCTCCTTCCAGCCAACCTCCCAACCTTCTGTCCGTCTATCCACAGATACTGAGGGATGATTGTGTTCACTTTCCTCAGCTTCCATTTTTCTATGTATCCACTCACCCTTCTGTCCAGCTGCCACTACTCATCCAGCACTCAGCTACATTCGGTATTCAGTGTCCACTTGATATGCATCTATTCTCATTTCCACCTACCCATCCTTCCAGCATCCATTTGCACAACCACCCCCATCCATCCACCTTCCACTAAACCAAGCTTCATCCTTCAGTCTGTTTGCCCAGTACCTACCTGGCATCCTGTTCTCTATATACTCATGTATATAGAGAACTTACATATACTTAGTTTCCCACTACCCTCTAGCCACCCTTCCATTTATCTTTCCAACATGGATTCATTAACCTGTCCTTCTGTTTATATACCCATCTAACATTCTATCCACGAGCATTTACCCCACAGCTTCCCTCCTTCCTCCCTCTCTGCCTCCCTCCTTCCTTCCTTTCTTCCCACCCTCCTTTCATTCATTTGTCCTTCCATCCAACCACCCAACCCTCCATCCATCCATCCATCCATCCTTCCATCCACCCATCCACTCATCCATCCATCCATCCATCCAACCACCCAACCCTCCATCCATCCATCCATCCATCCTTCCATCCACCCATCCACTCATCCATCCATCCATCCATCCATCCATCCATCCATCCATCTTACAAAGCACAGAACACTCAGGGCCCTCTGTAGCCCTTCTCCCTTGGCTGCTGGAGATATGACAGTAGCCAAGATAACCATGGTGGGAACTTGAGAGTGAGGTGGTGAAGAACAGCCTTTTATTTTATTTTATTTTTTGAGTCAGAGCCTCACTTTTGCCCAGGCTGGAGTGCAGTGGCATGCTCACAGCCACCGCAGCCACAACCTGCTGGGCTCAGGTGATCTTTCCGCCTCAGCCTTCTAAGTAGCTGGAACCACAGGCGTGTGGTTCCACCCATGGTTACCACCATGGTAATGCCCGGCTAATTTTTTTATTTATTGTAGAGATGAGGTCTTGCCAAGTTGCCCAGGCTGACCTCCAACCCATGGACTCAGGCAGTTCTTTTGCCTCAGCCTCCCAAAGTGCTAGGATTACCGGCGTAAGCCACAACACCTGGCTAGCTGTTGACTTTCAAAAGCCCTGAGTGCCAGTCCAGTCCTGCTGCTTCTCAGTTGGCCTCCCAAAGTGCTTGGATGACAGGTGTGAGTCCCGGGTCTTGGCACATTACACCCCTTCTCTGAGCCTCACTTTGTCATCAATCTGTGGGTGAGTGATGGTACCATCTCACAGGGAGTCATGAGGGGTGGACAAGAGAACATAGGCTGTCAAGTGCTAAGCAGGGCAGCAGCCGGCATCTGGAGATCCTTGACCTCCGACAGCAGCCGTTGTTCATGGTGACATCCTCAGTCTCTCTCTGTGACTTCCCACAGATCCTGGTGGGTGGCAGGTATGTCACCGTCCTGCTGGACCCGCACTCCTATGACACCGTGGTGTGGGAGCCCCGCACCAGGCTGGACTTCCATGCCTATGCCGTCTTCCTCATGGAGAGGATTTTTGATGTGCAGCTTCCCCATTACAACCCCAGTGACGAAAAGGCCAGGATGAAACCGTGAGTGGCCGCAGATGGCACCCCTGGGCGGGCCTGGGTGAGCGACCCACTTCTACCTGCATAGCCCAAGCTCTGGGTGGACCGTGCTGGGCTGCACAGCGGGTATCCAGTAAAGACATGTCTCGGGAACACAAACAGAAACAAAGCAAACAACAGTCCAACGAACTGGGCCAAAGAACTCTACTTCCCATTCCTGCTTCTTTCAGGAGGTCGCCCTGATTTTAGTGGGAGGAGACCAGGGCTTGAGCTGGCCAGAACTGGACTCAAGTCCCAGCTCCGTCACTTCCCGGCTCTGTGACGTTGGGCCAGGCACTTTCCCTCTCTGAGCCCATTTTCTCATCTGTAAAACGGAGCAGGCGAGTAATGGATATCTGGAGGCCATACCCTGCCCGGCAGCATGCCTTATCTTGTTAGTCTTCACAGCAGCTTGGAGTCTGAGTGACGTATTGCCTCACTTTATAGACGAGGCCACGGGGCTCAGAGAAGAGAAATGACTTGTCTTAGGTCACCCAGCTAGGAAGCACCACAGCTCCTGAAATGTGAGCAGTCAATACATCAGCAGGAGAACACGTGGTACTTTTACCCTGCATCCATCCCGCAGACATCTGAGGACCTGCTATATGCGGGTCACCGTCCTCGAGGCCAGGGATGCAGAATGATGCCAGCCACCACTTGAAGTCACCTGTTGCATGCCAGGTGTTTGATGGCCACTTTCCTATCTGTACGTTAGCCTCAAGAGGTGGGTATTTTAGCTTACTTTACAGGTGAGGAAAGTGAGAAGTGAAGTGACCTGAGAGAAGTGAAGGGACTTGTCCAAGGTCTATGGCTAGTAAGTGACAGGACTAGGTTACTTTATTTTATTTTATTTTTGAGTTGGAGTCTCACTCTGTCGTCTAGGCTGGAGTGCAGTGGCATGCACGTTCACAGCCACCCCAGCATCCACCTGCTGGGCTCTGGTGATCCTTCAACCTCAGCATTCCAAGTAGCCAGAACTACAGGCACACACTTCTGCATCCAGCTGATTTTCATTTATTATAGAGACGAGGTCTTGCCAAGTTGCCCGGGCTGGTCTTGAACACTTGGGCTCAGGTAATCCATTGGCCTTGGCCTCCCAAAGTGCTGGGATTACAGGCTGAGTCACCAAGTCCGGCCTGGGATTTTTTTTTTGGTCACCCAGGCTGGAGTGCAGTGGGACGATCATAGCTCACCACAGTCTCAATCTCCTGGGCTCAGCCTCCATAGTAGCTGGGACTATAGGCGTGTACCACCATACCTGGATAGTTGAAAATTTTTTTTTGTAGTGATGAGGTCTTGCTGTGTGGCCTAGGCTGGTCTCAAACTCCTAGGCTCAAGGGATCCTCCTGCCTCGGCCTCCCAAAGTGCTTGGATGACAGGCGTGAGTCACTTTGCCCAGCTGTTGTGCTGGAATTTGAACTCAGGAGCCCATTCACCTTCACCTGAGACACCGAGACAAATGCAACCCTGTGTCTACCCCTGCAAGGTGCTCCCAGTCTGATGACAGTCTTCAGCGATCTATCTCCTGGAAGAAGAACCTCCCAGAGCTAGGAAGACTTCTAGAGACCTGTGTTCTGTGGGATAGCCAAAGCCCACACATGGCCAGCATCAGGAGAGGGACACTGATGTGAGGTGACGCTCAGTCTGAACTTGGCCTGTGGAATAGCTGCTAGAGTGTTTCTGAGCCTGAGTGTCCTAAGTCCTGCCCTTCTGGGGGAACCCTGGGATCCCACTAACGACAGGAGTCCACAGCTCGCTGCACTCTACCCCTCACCCAGGAGGGAACCCAGTTGCCTCCAGTGTCTGCCCCAAAAATTTTTTGGAATTTCTCACAAGCCGGCATGATGTCTTCTGCCGTGTTTCTTGAGGGCCACTGTTTCTGCTGAGGACTAGCGTGTGGAGTAGGATAGGCCAAGTGGCTGGGACGGGGTCCGTCACAGTGCCAGCGCTCACCCTCACAACATGCTAAGCCCTTCAGTACATGGTCTTTCTTACATGAGTCATGTCTGTTGTTTTTCCAACCTTGTTCCTTCCACCTTGGACATCCCAAAGCCGTGATGACCTGGGGCTCATGGACACCCCCCCCACCTGGCTTTTTCCTCATGGGTTGTCCGAGCACCCGGGTACTTCCTCAGTCTAAAGATGTCCATCCTGTTTCCAACCGACTGGTGGCCATAGTCCTGGAGAAGCTCATCCTACTGTACGTGCCTGCTGTTCTGGTTTCTGCCACAGGTGTCGCTGTTGAACACGGGCTGTGCACGGCCCCGTGGACACGGTCACTGGCTGCTGTGGGGCCCTTTCTGGTCCAGCTCCTCACACAAGGAGCAGGGGGCCTTAGATGCAAGACCCCCCCTTTCTTGGCTTCTCATCGTGTCCTCAAATGTGGCTTGATGTGCACTCTCAGAACAGGGGGGCTTCCGCCTTTGCCACACACTCTCCCAGATCAGCCGTCTCCTTAGACTCTAGTCCCCACGATGAGACCAGGTCACCAGCCGGATTCTTCCTCCTCATGGCGAGCTTGCTTGGGGTGGTGTCTTATTAGCAGTCCTTCGCCAGGGGACCCCATGACTATCCCGCAGGTCTTCCTGTCTTTGGGCTTCAGGGAGAAATGAGTCTCTTTTTAGTTCTTTCTGTTCCAGAAGACTGTGGGCCCCTTACCCAAGTTTGTGCACCCCAGGGAGGGACAGACAATGCTGGCTAAGAGTTTGGTTTCAGTCCCAGTTATGTCATTTACTGCTGTGTGACCTTGGGCAAGTTGCCCTCCTCTCTGATCCTGAGTTTTTCCACCTGTAAAATGGGTGTTATAATAGTAACTGTTGTTCCTATGTGTGTCAGAAGGTGGCATGAGGTCATTATGCCTAGCACAGTGAATGGCATCTATCGCTATTGACAATGATGATAATGACAATATCCTTTTATTTAAGCCTGTCTTCCATGGGCCTGCATGATCGATGGGGACCTTGAGCTCCAGGACCCTAAGGTTTGCAGACAGAGGTGCCCGGGGGTGTCTATGTGCCTTTGGAAGCTGAGCTCCCATGTTTTTGTCTCTGACCTCAGGACTCTCATGCACAGAGACCTCCAGGCGCTCACGGAAGCCATGAACGTAAACCTTCGGACGGTCCTGCTGGGTGACACCATGGACACGGGTGGCGGCTGGCACGAGACAGGTCTCCTGGATTTCTCCTACAGTGCCCTGCTCAGGTGAGCCTGGGCAGTGCTCAGTATCCCAGATGGGGCCCAGTGCTCTGGGAGCCGTGTCAGCTATGAGCAGTGGCTAAGACCAGGAGGACTTTGTGGGTGGGGAAGGCAGCTTGGGATGGCCAAAGCAAAGGCTGCAGGAAAGACCTTGTACCCTCAGTACCCCAGGGGTTTTCCTGACCCAGCCTGTGAACTGTAAAAGGAGGCACCAGCTGAAAAAGGGACCTTATGGGTCATTAGGAGAAACCATCTTGTCCTGTGGCTTCCAGACTTTGGGATTTCACAGACTAGCAAAACAAAATATTTGGGAGAAAAGCCCAGGACCTTAACTTTTTTAAAAATCAAATCTTGTAAATGTATTAGCCAGGCATGATGATGGGCACCTTTAATCCCTGCTATTTGGGAGGCCATGGCAGGAGGATCACATGTGCCCAGAAGATCAAGGCTGCAGTGAGCTACGATTGCACCACTGCACTCCAGGATGGACAACAGAGCGAGATCCCATCTCAAAAAAACAAAGCAAGCTGGGTGCAGTGGCTCACGCCTGTAATCCCAGCATTTTGGGAGGCCAAGGCGAGAGAATTGCCTGAGTCCAGGGTTTCAAGACCAACCTGGGCAACTTGGCGCGACCTCGTCTCTACAATAAGTCAAAAAATCAGCCAGCCATGGGGGCGCACACCTGTGGTTCCCACTACCTGGAAGACAGAGATGGAAGAATTGCCTGAGCCCAGCAGGTTGAGGCTACATGGCCTTGATCATGCCACTGCACTCTAGCTGGGGCAGCAGAGTGACTCCTACGCAAAAAACAAACAATAACAAACAACACAAAGCAACAAAAACCCCAATAATGAACATTAAGAATAGCAGAACTTTCAGCAGCGCCTCACCTCTCAGGGATCTGGGGACGTAGCAGGGACAGGGAAGAACTCACACAACTGACACTACTGTGGGGGACAGACTGGCTGTATCTGAAGGTGACACACACGACAAAAGAGATCCCCAGATGGAGTGATGGCACCCAGGGCTTCTTCAGGCAGACTGGTGAGGGAGGGTGTCTCTGAGGACCCAGCCTCAGAACTGACTTAACTGCGAGGTTCCCGCTGTGCCGAGACTCCAGGCAGAGGAGACAGCGTGTGCAGAGGCCTGGAGGTAGGGAGAAGCTCGGCAAAGGGCCGGTGTGGTACAGCTTAAAGAGCCAAGGACGGAGGGTGGAGCTGAAGTCAGAGAAGTGGGCCGAGTCCAGTTTCACAGAGCCTGGGGCACGGGAGGCTTTGGAAACTCTTCTGAGTAAGACGGGGCACCATCAGGGCTTTGAGCAGGGGCACAGCCTGGTATGACGGAGGGGCGTTAAGCTCCCTCCGGCTGCTGGATGGTGGATGGACTGGGGGTGGGCGCATGGGCTGCGAGGGAGGCAGGAAGACCTGTCAGGAGGCTGCTGTGGTCACCCTGGTGAGAGCATGGTGGCTGGAGCGGGGCATGGTGAGAATTTGGATGACTTTTGGAGCTAGAGTTGATGGGACCAGGCTGGGCGCAGTGGCTCATGCCTGCCATTCTAGCATCTTGGGAGGCCAAAGTGGGAGAATGATTCGAGGCCAGGAGTTCAAGACCAGCCTGGGCAGCAAAACAAAATGAGACTTCATCTCTACAAAAAAAAAACACCAAACAGTTAGGTGGTCTGCACCTGTAGTTCCAGCTATTTGGGAGGCTGAGGCGGGTAGTTAGCTCAAGCCTAGGAATTTGAGGCTGTGGTAAGCTGTGATTGCACCACTGCACTTCAGCCTGGTTGACAGAACGAGACTCTGTCTCTAAAAAAATAAAGAGTTGACAGGACCGGGAGTGTGGGTATGGGAAAGGAGGGAGGTGTGGTCTTGGGGGCAGTTCCCTGGTTTTTAGTGATGCCATTAACTAACCAGCATAAACGAAAGGATATTTCAGCCCCTCCAAAAAACTAGAGCAATGTGGTTTCAGGATAAAGGACAGCCATTTACTGACATATACAAGCTCGTGGGGACATTCAAGACATGTGTGTGCACATGTGTAGACCCAACAGGTGTCAACTCATTTAATGCTTACAGTGACTCTCAGAGGCCAGTACTTTGCAGACCCATTTGACAGATGGAAAAAATGAGGCTGAGGGATCCCATTTGCCCAGAGGCCCGTGTTGGCAGGGCTGGCTCCAGAACCTGCACTCAGCTGTGACCCTCTGCGTGTACACCATCCCGGTTCTTATTTCTCCCTGGGCTGGTGCACACACCGTCCAGGGCTGTCACTGGTCTGGGTGGTGCTGGTCTGGTCCACCCTGACTTTGTATGATGGGGACTGAAGTGCAGAGAGGGGCAGCTGAAACCACCCAGCAAGTTCATGGCAGGGCCTGTCCCAGGACCCTGGCTTCTGCCGCCCTGGGTCCCCGTTTGGGCAAAGAAGTCAGAGAAGAAGCATGGGGTTGGGAAGAGGGGTGGCAGCTAGGTCTGTTGAGGCCTGTTGAGTACGGTGAGCACAGTGCAGGGGGAGTCAGGTGTCGGCCCATACTGGTAAGTTCATGCCTGTAAGTCTATGCCTGTAAGTACGTCCAGGCATCTAAGTCCACGCCTGCAAATCTACACCTGTAAGTACATGCCTCTAAGCCCACGCCTATAAGTCAATCCAGACCTGTAAGTCCATGCCTCTGAGTCCAGGCCTGTGAGTCCAGGCCTGTAAGTCCACAGGTGTGGACATGTAGGTTAACGTGGCCCAGGCTGTGAGCCTCTCCAGCCCTCCAGCCTGTCTTGTGTGGGCCCTGGCTTTGCTCAGTCACACCCAGAGATCTGGTCTGTCCTCCCCCTGCAACACTGACCTCTTCTCATCACTCCGGCCGCCTTGCTGCCCCTGGAACAGGGCAGCCACGCTCCTCCTTTGGGGCCTTTGCAGTTTCTGTTCCCTTGCCTGGGCATGCCGTTCCCCATATGTCTGCCTGGCTTCCGCCTCACCTTGTTCACACCTCATCTCAAGTACCACCTGCTCAGAGAAGCCGTTTTTGACATCCCATTAATTTAGTGTGATGGCCCTCTCCCATGACCCAGAGTGGTCCAGGTTTATTTTCTTTGTGGCATCTAGCGCCGCTTTGGGGTCACGAGTGCATTTGCACATGCGATTAGCGTGTCTCCAGCCATGTGGTTTTGATGCGGTGGAGCCAGGGAGGGTCAAGCCCTGTGGTCCTCTGGGTTTATTTTTTGGGTTTATTCTTCATTGTCTATTTTTGGTGGAGATATATGCACAGGGTAATGATTGTCTTCTTTGGGATGACAGAGGATGATGGTGCTCACTGCAGCTGCACAGCCCCAGGGCCTGTGAGGACCACAGAGACCTGGCGAACACACACCTGTCTGTCCAATGGGCGTAGCCATGACACTCCTCCAGCCCAGGGCTGTCAGGTGGGACTGCTGGCCCAGGTAGCCAGACTCCATTTTTTTATTTTTTATTTTTATTTTTTGAGTTGGAGTCTCACTCCGTCGCCCAGACTGGAGT